CTGTCGGTACATATTCGTTGTGATGTTCAGCATCCGTGACATGATTTTCGCCGGAATAATAAACGAGTAATAACAAAAGAAGAATAAAATAACGTTCTCAAAATTACTTTTGAAAATGTTAAGCTCGGTACGTGCTGAGTTTTGGAGGCACTGGTGCACAAGAAATCTGCTCAAAATCATTGGCACACGTCCATTATAGTAGTTCACTCATGACGTAAGCCGTTCTGTGGACGTCACTCTGCTAAGTTCGACGGTGTGAGTTCGATTTACGAGCACTGCGAACATCTTTCGATGGCGGCGAATTGTGAAACACTCGTATACTTAGATTAAGGTGCGTGTTAAGAAGACCTAGATGAGTTAGACTTAATCAGGAGTCTCACACAATGGTGCGCTTCATGACCACATTTTGACTTTGGCACGCGGTATACCCCGAAATTAATGTGGACGATTCAACAGACTTCCTGTGGATACTAGAAAAGTTATAGTGATGTATATCAATTTCACTGGCATAATTATTTAGCCCTTAACCTCTTACAGAATAGCTGGAGCAATTTGCAGGTTAAAGTATCCCAAGCGTACAGCCGTGACATAATGTTTCGCTCTTTTCTCAAAAACGAGGCAATAACTTGGATAGTGCCTACAAGTATAAATTGGGCGAAACCGGTAGAAAATAATGCACCAAATTTCGAGTCGTTAACCAGTAAAAAAGTAGCTCCACTGCGAGTCCTACCTGTCATGCTGGCGCTTCGGCGAATGTAAACACGGAGAGACCAAGTGCGGGGATTTGGTTAACACAATAGATGCGTACTGAAGACGCATGCCCCGCGACTACCAGAACAAGAAGCGAGTCCCGACGTCAAAGGGAAAGAAATGAGCATTCCGCAGTGGCGCAGGTGTTTAATAGGTGATGCGTCTTCGCTGAAGGCGCGTCGAACTGCCTGAGCTGTCTTGACCGGATGAGGATGCGGTGGTGAGTGTAGTAAGCATCCACATTTATTCGAAAGCGTTTCTAGCTGTGAAATAAGCTCGCGTAGTTATCCGGGTTGCTTGCCGAAGTGCCAGAAAGACTCACAGGTGACTCGAATGTGACTTTCGTTTTGTCATTTGTATTTATTTAAGAAAATTACCAGCGGACGTCATCGGCGTGCTTCGCAAGCCCACAGAAAATGGAAGATACATTACAAGTCTGTATACAGTTGGCACCTTGCTTTTAACTAGGGCATTGTGATGGAAACTAGAGTCTTAAAGTGTTATATGCTCATGATGAATATTGGCAAAGTTTAAATTGTCGTATGAAATGTGGACATTAGTGCTTTGAATAGTACGTAGCATTCAATTATTGTATAACTTGTAGTCGAATAGAACTTCACATGTACGCGGCACATCCTCCTCAAAGGTGTATCTGCACAAGCTTGCACCAATGGAAGCGCACTCCAATATGGCGTCATGAGTAGGACGACCAGGGGCTCTGTCTTCGGAGAACGTTTTCGACTGAATGAGTGGAACTGTTTTGTAGCCGTAAATGCGACCGGCTATCAACCTGGTGGCCTGAATGATGAGTCGAAATTAGTGATTAACCTCAATAAAGGAACAAATCTTTGAGGCTGGATTTGTTATTACTTTCACGTTACACATACCGCAAAAATGCCATTTGAAACTGAACAATCCGTACCTATTATATTTTGCCCAAAAGAGTAAGTTGTTCAACAATGTGCGTAGAAACATTCAATCCTAGAATTATAAGCGAAAAACTTTCGAGCAATGTCTTGTAATTTCATATGGAAACGCTGGTACTCGCCATTCAAGAATTCTAGGTTTGAGATAATACGTCATAGTCGAGTGAACACCTGTACCCGCAGTACGCCAACCTTGCGGGCGCAGTTCAGACGATCAACAGATGTGCAGACATACATCATGGTTCAAAAGAGTTCACTTCAGGAAACGGTGATATATCTTTACCCTTTAAGCTACAACAAAGCCAGTACACGAATCCTCTCGCCAGGTGTAAATTCCTGGAAAGTCCTTCCTGCATTGTCGACATCGCCGATGTCACCGAAGAGGGGTACAGCGACGCGCCGTTTGTTTCGCTTGTCGCTTTAACATCTTTCTCGAAGCGAAGTACCTGACAAGAGATGGAGCCATTCTACTTTGTAAAGGTGGATGGCCTGCTGAGCTGACGGGAAGCGTATACTCCACAAGCTTTCTGCTTCTCGGGTGTTCTCATAAAGAGTGGTTGACACATACCCGTCACGCACGACGATGACGACGATGTGGCCAGACGTGACTTACGTGGGGAAGCACGTACAAATGACCTACCGGTAGCGCCATCAGTGGTGTAGCGGTGCTGGGCTGCTGACCCAAAGGACACGAAATCGAGTCCCGGCCGTGGCGTCCAAATTTCGATTGAGGCGAAACGCTGAACGCTCGTCTATTTAAATTTAGGTGTGCGTTAGGAAACCGCAGGTGATCAAGTTTCCGGAGGTTTCCCCTGCGGCGTTTTTAATAACGATATCGTGTTTTTTGAGCCGGCAAACCTGAATAATGGTTATGAAGGTGTGCTACTCCACTCAAATTTTCTGTGGGGTCTCCGAGATCGGCCTAGCGTTGACCTTTTTAAGGTCAATTGATCGCGTCATGTAGAGATCCCATCGTGAAGTTATGATAACGTTGCCTGACGTTATCACTTATTACGAGAAAGTGACGTGGTTTTATTTGCGGACGAATGCCGCCAATGAAGGAAGTGTAGCATTTACAGTTCTGCTGCAAGAAATAACCCGGGTAAAGAGTAGTATGCATACTACCAATAAAATTTCATTTATATTAGCGCTGTTTGAACTGATTTGACTCCTAGAATTCTACGGTCAGTGAATGCCGAAACGACTGTAAGAGGACCTCACTTATTAGCATGCGGCACACGCATTTATTTGTAGACGAGCAAGAGAGCGACATTTATTAAGAGTTAAAAGCGGAGATGTTGGCCTGAATAAATTTTCTGGCCGGCTACTCAGAGTTGGGTACGAAAAAGGGGTGGTAAATAAAGTAGAGAGACAGGGTTGTCGATGATGAGGATGAAGTCGATGATAGATCGCAACATTGAATGCCCCAAAGTTGTTTGCAGTCTCTTTTTGAGTTCTGTCTCACGGAAAAAACTGATTCGAAGATATGAAAACATTGCGCTGATCACGTGTGGGTTCAGAAAAAAAAATAATTCCGATACTCGTTGCTTGACAGTATTTAATAAAATGTGGCCTCTGATTTTCTTTGTATATGCTATATTACAGAGAGACGCTCAAGATACCTAGAGGGTACACCACCACCACCACCCCCAGCAACACTAATAATAATAATAATAATAATAATAATAATAATAATAATAATAATAATAATAATAATAATAATAATAATATAATAATAATAATAATAATAATAATAATAATAATAATAATAATAATAATAATAATAATATCGTGGATTATACTTCCCAAAGCCACGATATGATTATGAAAGATGCCGCAGTGGAGGGCTCCTGAAATGTTGACCCTCTGGTGTTTTTTAATGGACATTGATATCGCACAGTACACGGATCTCTGCCCTTTCGTCTAAATCGAGATGTGACTGCCGTGGCCGGGGTCGAACCCATGACCTTCCAGTCTGCAGCCGAGCACCATAGTCATTGATCTACCGTAGTGGACTGCGGTGAAATAAATAAATAAATAAATAAATAAATGAATAAATAAATATTCTGGTGGTGCTACGCAATTTCAATGCAATACTTACTGTCATGATATTGTTGCTTCTTTTGCTTCTCTGTTCATTTATTTTTCTCCGTTATATTCTTTTTCTTCTTCGTTCTTCTGCAGCCTGTAGATTCTTGCTTGCATTCAATATAGTACTACGTCTGTAGTCATGCCACATGCTTCCTCATCCTATGCTTTTTCGTGTGCATGAGAAATATTCCGAAATAAACAAGCAAACTATACCGCACATTGCTGTTGCACGCATGGATCATGTGTGTTAGTGTGCCGCTATGGTTTCCCTTGAGTACGTTGGCATTTGACAGAGAGAGAGGTAAACAAGAAAAAAACGGCGGAAAGGTTAGCAAGTTTAACAATCTGGTTATCTACTCCGCAATGTGGGTGGTGATAAGCGCAGGGATTGTGAACACGTGATTGCCATTGGCTCTGCCTCACGGTGTTCCGCCTTCGCAGGCGGGCGTGGCAGTAGCTTGCGAAAAATATCGCCCTCACCACACCCACCCCTCTCCACAATATGCTAGAAAAAAAGGTTGGCGAAGTGGCGGCCTTATTTCCATGCCCGAAAGTCAATAATGTTCGCCTCAACGTCTTGCCATGTGAAAAATGTGCAAACGGTGAATAATTGATAGCGGGTTTATAAAACGTATATATACAGTTAAAGAAATCGCCGTAGCTGCTGTATGGGCATCATAAACAGAATGAAGCGGTTACCTTTGTTTCATACAACAGGGAGCATGAGCGAGAAGTTTCACTTAAGCGCAGCCAGTAAATAAGCTGAAGTAGTGAAATTCATGTAAATGTCTTTGATTTGTCAAAAGTGAGCAAGGTGTGTAGGATTCTACACTATAGATTGCACCAAATTTCCCTGTGAAGGTGTACATCAGCGCCTATAGTTCATGCATTGACATCGGTATGAGAAAAAAAAGTAAAAAAGAAAAGGAAAAATGTATCTATATAATTGCGTACTCCCATTGTTTACTTAGGGACGGACGCTTTGACAGGCTGCTCCTTGGCAACCAAGTTGTTCAAGACATGGCAGTGGCGGTGTTCTCGCTGTTGTCTTATAATGTAGCGTCAGAACGATTGAAGATGATGCCCATTGGTTATCAGCATTCGGAACTGGATTCCCCCTTACTGTGAGGCACAGTATGTCGGGCAGATGGGCCGATTGCTGCAAGGGTGATAACAAGCACTGTTGGGCTTCAAGTCCCAAAGCCACGTATCATTGTGAGCAACACCACATAGGAGTACTTCAGAAATTTAGACCAACTGAGATTCCTTGACGCACATCTGAATCTATTTATATGTGGGGTATAACGTCCCAAAACCACCGTAAGATTATGAGAGATGCCGTAGTGTATGGCTCTGGAAATTTCGACTATTTGGGGTTCTTTAACGTGCGTCCAAACTTGACAACACGGGCCTACAGCATTTCTGTCTCCATCGGAAATGCAACCCCGGCAGTCGTGATTTGATCCCGCGACCTGCTGGTCAGCAGCCGAGTATCCTAGCCACCAGACCACCACGGCAAGGCGCACATCTAATTCTAAGCACATTGGTTTCTAGCATGTTGCCTCCAACAAAATGCCTCCCTTTCAATCGCTTGCCTCCCTTTCAATGCCTCCCTTTCAATCGCAACAAACTTCCCTTTCAATCGCTTGCTGCGTCGTCCTCAATTTAGGCAGAACCGTTTTTTTAAGTGCATAGCTTCTGCTATGTAGGTAACCACCAGCAAGATGCACCTGCTATATACCCTTCTCTTGAAGAATAGTAGTCAGCTACTGTGGGAAGCGAAGGCCCAAAATAAACATTCCTGAGTGGGGTAACTAAACTGACTTCACAGCCACGATATGCGAGCATACCGGCCCGTTCGTTGTTCCCCACGGATGCGAAGCACGCTGTTCATTGCATCTAGAATCAGACCAAAATGCGGCATTGACATCCCTGTACACGGCTAGTTATCTTTTCGTCCACCTTCCTTTCTTGAAAGTTAAATTGCAATTACTTCTAATAACATGCCTTAAACTTTCCCTAGCACTATTGTCTGTTAGCTAGCACCAACAAATTAGGGCAGAGTAATAGCGGGATTTGCTTTGGTTTGGTGAGCGGTGACGCGACTGGTTTCTATTCGCATAGAAGGGTAAATGTAATACGAGCGTGGTAATAAAAACAGAGAGATACAAGGACCACTAAGAACCTGTGCGCAAAACCTAACAAAGCCTAAACAAGGACAGATGGACAGAGAAAGACAGGTGCTGACTACCAACTGAAGGGTTATTCAGTAATCTGTGAGACACACACGGATAAAACCAAAAGAAGACGATCGATAAAAAACCACAGCATATCCCCGGAATTAACGATGATGAGTGGGTGAAGCGTTCGTCAATCCGTCTATGCGTCCATCCGTGCGTGGAAGAGGAGGTAAGTTTATTTACAGAAAGGCAGAGAGGTCGGCCTGAGCGATAGCCTGCTACTCTACACTGGGGGAAGGGAAAGGGGAAAAGAGAGATTAATGGATGACGATGTTGAGATAGAGAGGTGAGTATGTAGTGTTCTTTCTAGCTGAGACACATTTCATAGCCGCGCACATAGTCCAGTTGTTTCCAAAAAGGTTATAACTGCTCTTGTGACCGCAGTTGCACTGTTGGTGTCTGGCTAAGGGCCCAACATGGTCTCATCAGTCAATGACCTACTGCGATATAGTTCAGTAGAAGAAATCAGTGTCTGTCGTTCACGTGCGTATGCTGGGCCGACGCAAAATATGTGCTCAAGTGTTTCTGGCACATCACAGTGTTCACAATTAGGACCGGTGTCACTGCGACCGATGATATGTGCGTAACGTCTGGTGTACGCTACACCAAGGACGAATGCGGTGGATCATACTTGTGAGTTGCCGTTTCAATTTAAGGGGCATGCGGAACCTCATTTCCGGGTCCCATTTGTGAAGTAGCTGGTGTCGCCGTTCCGGTTTGGTCCCGTGCTGAAGTGTGTAGCTGCGCATCACGCAGCGAAGCGGGGCGTTCGTGTCAGCTCGTGAAAACGCAATGCGTACTTCAGGGGCACTGCTTAAGGCATTTTTAGCTTCAGCGTCTGCCTCTTCGTTTCCCATCACGCCGCAATGAGCGGGAATCCACTGGAAAGTTATAAGATGACCATTTGTTGAAGCAACCTGAATAAGTTCTGTGATTTCTATTGCCAAGCTGTAATATGAACCTTGCTTCATGATGCAATTAATGGTTTGCAAAGCGGATTTGGCATCACAGAAAATCGTCCAGGCTTGAAGTTGCTCTCCGGAAATAAATCTTATTGCCTCCCGGATAGCGACAAGCTCTGCGGCAGTTGATGTGGTTTTATGGTCCACTTTGAATCGTCGAGCGATATCCATGTCTGGGATGACAAAGGCTGCGGCGGAGGTGTTTAGCGTGGTGGATCCGTCGATGTACACGTGTAGAGAATCACATTTACACGTTGTATAAATGTGATATAGGGTCAGCTGTCTGAGGCCAACAGAAGAAATGAGCGACTTCTTCGTGATTCCAGGTATCGTAAATGAAACAGGTGGTTTAAGCAGGACCCATGGAGGCACTCCAGAGGCATTTGGTGGAGAAAACCTTGATGGTATAATGTTTTCATGCCGCAATATTACTCTTGAGAAACTGCAATCTGGGTGAGTGGCGGGTAGTACTGACAGTGGGTGCTGTCTGTGTCTGCTCAGCAATCGGAGGTGAACTCTAAGTGGCTCGCAGAGCATGTATACACTGATGGGACAAGCCCGAGCCTCTGCGATTGTCCCATTTGTTGAAGTACAGCGCGGTAGACCCAAGCATCTTCGTAAGCATTGAGCTTGAACACTCTCTAACGTCTTCACACAACTAGGTCTCATATTGGAGAGCACCGGCATGCTGTATCGAATGTATCCCACAAATAGAGCATTGTACAATCGAAGTAGCGATGATTCTGACAGGCCCATCTTGCTCCTGCTACGTGGCGAAGAACGAGAGCAAAGCTATTCAATTTAGATTTAAGTACTGCGACATGCTTCGTCCACGATAGATCTCTGTGTACGACAACCCCAAGGAACTTGTGGTGCGTTACAGCAGGTATCGCTGTCCCATTAATAAATATCGGATATTTCGACATATGCTTGCGCGTGAACGCAAGCACTGCGCATTTGTCGATTGAAAGAGTGAGCCCCTGACGTCGTAGATATTTGTATGTGATCGTCACTGCACGCTGTAGTCGAGCTCGTAATTGCGGACGAGTAGTTCCGGATGCCCATATGCATATGTCATCAGCGTATGCACTGATATTCACCGTGCTGGGAAGTTCTGTTGCTAGGCCGATCATTGTGACATGGAATAGGATCGGGCTGAGAACTCCTCCTTGGGGAACACCATGATGAACCTTATATCAATCGGTGTCTCCGTTATTTGTCGTCATGTAAATGGTGCGGTCCCTAAGGTAGCTAAAAATCCAAGCGTACAGTCGTCCACCGATGTCGAAATCTTCCAGTGCGTCAAGGATCGCATAATGCAGCACATTATCGTAGGCACCCTTAATGTCTAAGAAGACCGCCGCCACTAGTCTGCGTCGGCTTCTTTCCTCTTCAATGCTGGTGATCAAGTCGACCACACCATCAATGGCAGATCGGCCTCTTCTGAAGCCATTCATAAATTCAGAAAAGAAGTTGTTCCTCTCTAGAACCCACTCTAATGTTGACAGTATCATTCTTTCCATCACTTTTCCGACGCAGCTGGCTAAGGCGATTGGTCTGTAGGAGGAAAGTGCACAAGGACACTTCCCCGGCTTAAGCAATGCAAATAATTCGACTCCATTTCCAATAAGTTGGGACTTCTCCTGACTCCCATGAGGTGTTATAATGAGATAAGATACGTCGTGCTTCTGTATCAAGATGGTTGAGTGCAGCATACGTGATTCCGTCAGGTCCTGGTGCCGATGATCGGCGGGAGGCAGAAATCGCAGCGTCAAGCTCATGCATTGCAAAACGTACATCAAGGCACTCGTCAGACGATGGAGGCGCAACGGTAGTAAGAGGCTCATTAGTGGCAAGACCATCAGTGGTGTCCACGATGAGGCTACAGTATTCACTGGCTATCTCAACTTCTGTCCGTCCCTGATGTAGAGCAACAGCTTGAAATGGTTGACGTTGTTGGGGAGTTGTCTGCAAACTTCGTACCACCCACCAGATCTTAGATAGAGATTGCCTGGGGTCCAGAGATCCACAGAAATTTCTCCAACGTTGCCTGTCAATCTTGTCAAGATGCCGAAGAACATGTCGTTGAGCTCGACGACATCCGTGCGTGAGTTCATCCTTATGGGCGCCAGTTTGTGTGTGTGTCAGTCTGTCTGTTCGTGCATCCATCCATCTAGTGAACACTTGAAGTACCGCCATCTCGCTTCTTCTTATCATAAATTCGCCATATACAAATACTTCCATCCAGCTGACAATCCAAAGACTAAACGAGCGTATGTGCTACATTTCTGCTGTCAGCGCTTTGTTGACACCGAGAGCGTGATAACGACGCCGTCCTACGTTTTTCGTAACATGTGGACATACGGATATGCGCCCCTCGTATGCGGGTAAGTGCCACAGGTAACGGACAACGGGGGACGCACAAGCTACGCCACAAGAAGCTTCGCCCCTAAATATATGTAACTGTTTAGAAATATTTATTCTCACAGAAGACGTCAATAACTTTGAACAGAACATTTTATTTTTAGACATACAATAACTATGATGACAAAACAGGCTTAATTTACACGAACATGGATATGAGATGACGTGAAAGAACATGCACATTCGATGTTGCTATGTATTCGATAGAAGTGCTTAATGATTTACAGTACTTGTACTTGTGTTTAGAAAAAAAAATGTTTAACGATTTCGAGTAGTTCGAACTCAACTATGGGAGAGCACTGAGCTGTACGTGTGTTTAGAAAAAGTTATTAACAATTCAGAGCACTATAGGCTACTCTACTATGGGGGAGCTGAAAGCCGTCCCTAAGAGAATAGACAAGAAACACCTGTGTGTTTAAAAAAGTGGTGAACAATTTAGAGCACTATAGGTACTCTACTATAGGAGAGCATAAAGCCGTCCCGGGAACCAATTGTGATCTATTACACTTTAGAAGTCAGAGATTTAACAGAGCATGCATTGCTTTTCAGAACATATCGCCAACGACATGTGCCGCTTTCCAAGAACGCAAGCTGCTTATCGGACCGGGTAAGTGATAATGTGCTCAGACAAGTAAAATGATCTCGCGTTGTGCTTGCAGTGGTCATCTTTATGCTTATCTAGCACAGTTTTGCTGCCATACTGACCTTTTAACTCAAATTGTCTGGTGATTTGGGCCGAATAAGCTTTCAGTTAGCAGTACGCACTGGTTCCTGTCTGCGTATGCCTCCTTTTTTTTTTTTGCTAATGCACTTACATGTTTAGTTTGATGAATGACAGGCTCGTACAATTAGCCAATTTGATGGGTGGGTAAGTTATTTAGCTGAGCAGTTAGCTGGTCGACTTGAGCAGCAAGCTGTGCGTTTGAAGTGTTGAGTTCACCAAGGAGCTGCTTTTCGTGCGATTAATTCAAGGCGTCATGCATAGCGATGGCGCATTCATGACTCATGGTTTCTGAACGCCACATAAACACGCTCCACCCACTCTTAACCTTCCAGTTACTGCTCTGTCATGCTTCGCATCTGCTGTAATTGGTCGTTTGAAGTACTTCTTTAGTACTTCAAGTGACCTGCACCTAGGCCAAAGCGTTGTTTCATTCTTAGACTGTTACGCGTACGTTGAATGGTTATTGAAATATCATAATTCAATATAGTTTAGTTTACGTTATGTACTTTAGTTTTCGGTGTACTGATTTTCAATCCTATCCTTCTGGTTTCCGTGTGTAATTCCACAATCATTATGTGTAATTCATATCCCGAGTTCCTTAGCAAGGCAACATCGAATCGCATATGATTTCCTAACCATGTGGTAAATGATGACCGATTGGAAGGAATTCAGCCCATAGTGGAGGCGTAAATGTTGTAGGCCCGTGTGCTCAGATTTGGGGGCACGTTAAAGAACCCCAGGTGGTTGAAATTTCCGGAGCCCTGCACTACGGCGTCTCTCGTAATCATATGGTGGTTTTGGGACGTTAAACAACACATACCGATCAATCAATCAATCAATTAAATTCAGCCCATCATATTTAGCCGGGCTGGTGGGAGGACGCGTTCTCGCTATGCAAAGTCAACACATGCCGTGGCACTGACCCATGATGAAGACGATGGTCGTCGACCTGCCACCAGTTACGAAGACTGCCAGGGCGGCCATCATCGGCTGGTTGACTCAGCCTGTTCGCCGTTCTTGCCACCGCTATTTTGGACCGTCGATCTTTTTAAAGCTTGTAGTGAGCCACACAGTTACCCATCGGTAATGCTTAACTGTGCCCTGACGGCTCGCTCGGCACCCAGTTCGAGTTTGTGTCATTTTGTTACACACGCTAGCTTTTCTGAAAATTACGAAATATCAGTGAACCTGTACCGCAAGTGAGCCGCACCCTCTCACATCGATAAAACCTGGCACGCTTCCACGTGTGAAATGCAGCTGTAACACTTCGATGGCCTTATTATAGTATTACCTGAGCTTTTCCGTCCCTAAACCACCTTATGATTACGAGGAACCCTGTAGTGGAAGACTCTGTAAATTTCGACCATCTGACGTTGTTTATCATGCGCTGACATTACACAGTTCGCGGGCCTTAACCATTTCACCTGCATCAAAATGCGAGCACCGTGGCCGATATAGAACCCGCGACCTTTGAGTGAGCAGCCGAACACTATAGCCATGGTTCACCAAGGCCCCTGTTACAAGCTGCACCGATTACCTCATTAAGTGCACTTGTTACACGCTGCTAAACCGAAAATTACAGAATTAACTAAGCATCTAATGACTTAGCCAGATACGGTTACTTTTTGTGAGCTGCAATCACATATGGTGGCTATTTACTCGTCGTACAAGCACAGTGTGTCAATCACCATTAAGCTCAGCATGACGGATTTTATCTCGATCGAGATGGTTGGACCGCAAACGGACTCGAACGTGACACCTATGTCTTCCTGTGACAGCTGTATGTTTAAATCACTGCAAACCGGGCCCCGCGCAACGGGTTGGGAGTCTTCCAGGAAGAGTAAGCTCTGAAGGCGACTGTATGTCACTGGCTAATTTTCTGAGTATTCATTTAATCCTGTGCTGCTTACCTGAAATGAAATGCCGACCGCATACATGGACATAATGCGGATGGTTGACGTCCTTGCCCTTGATGCGAGAAAGTCAGCGACGGCGACGCGTTCTCGACAGTTCTTCAGTGATGCTGTACACTGCGCCATTGCTTTCGGCAAGCAGTAGAGCCCGGCTCCGAGGCTTCATGTTCGTTTTCTGTGCTGTAGACATGAATCTCGCACTGCAGTAGATCATCGCATACGTCGTAACTGTTACTAAACCCGCACTGCGGAAATATAACAGACCTGACACAGGTACCGAAGGCCGGCGAAATGGCAGTGGGTCACTGCAGTTGTTGCCATCTACGTCATACAGCCCGGCTGTGACGTCTGGGAAAACGATGCATTGAAGCTTGCGTTATCTTACACCTGAGCCCCGAATGCAGTAGCAACATCTGTCATATATCTTATTGATATGAACCTTAGTTCACTACAAATAGTTTCGCGTGCAATTCATGCTAGGCCTAGTTGGTTGTTCACCAGAACCTGTAGCATATTTAACGCGATGCAGATGCAAAGACATTTCAGTTGTTAGCATCTGTGCCCAGTGCCCCTGTGCGCTGTATCTGCCTCATGATTTTTTTTTGTCATTCTTCCTTCGTCATCGTTCTGCACTCGCCAAGTGCTGCTAATTTAGAATAACGTGAACCAATAAGCCCGGATGTCTACTGTTGCAAACGTTAGATTGCTTTCTTTTTATTTTATGCAGATATGGGAAGATGGCACATACTTTTACTAAAATAGCCTGTCGGTATTGCGTGCAAACTGAATCTCAGCTGTTATACTTGAAGTTGGCACGGATTCTTTTTTTTTTCAAATATACAAGAAATGATAACTTATTGGTGCTTTAGCTATTTTGCGCGAAGCAAAGACGAAGCAAGCTATGAAAAAAAACGAGCCATAGTATAAACAAACCGTTTGTTCGCACTCTTTTGTTGATACTCCTTGTCACGCGCCCATGTTTGTCTCGCTCAAAGTGGCTAAAAGAACAATTCGTCCCAATTAACCCGGCTAGGAGTTTCTCTTAGTGTCCTATTGAAACGATAGATACGTGAACAGGTGCAATCGATTGTTCTCGTTTCCGTTTTACCAAGGAATCAGAGACCTCGCCATAGTGTCTTTCACATTGCTTTTCGGGCCCATCACACTCTTGGGCCTTGTGTATCCCAATTCTGCATGCACTTTTGAGATATTGCTGAAACAACTAATAATAAATGATCTAGCACTGCTAGCTTCTTGAGCACGCGATATGAAATTATGTGTACAGTCGTCATTCAGCTTAACACGATCGCTCCGATACATGACCTGGACGAATTTGATTGATGTCAGCCGCGAAGATCCGGGCGCTGTGTCTAAGTTAACACCTCAGTATGCGAACCTACGCGGTGCTAACGTCATCAAAGCTGTTTCAAGATACTCTGCGGCGTGTTCTGTTAAGATTGCTGACGACTATATATATATATATATATATATATATATATATATATAATATATATATATATATATATATATATATATATATATATATATATATATATATATATATATATATATATATATATATATATATATATATATTGAAAAAGGGTTTATTGACGACTGTTGCGACGGTGGTCCTACGAAGAAACACGATCGTGCAAGAGCAACGGTCAAGCAGATGCCGGCGATGATCAGCACGAGCCGAGCGAGCCAAGCCCAGCACCCAGTACCCAAGCGGTGGCGATGTTGCTTGCCAACGACGCTCTTTCTTCTTCACAATTTGCCCCCGCCGAAAAAGAGCCATCCTGGCGACCTAAGAGTCTGGAGGCAGAGGGCTATAATATGGCTTAAGGCGGGCGACGTGGACGACGTCACGTCCACGCCGGCGCATGTCGTCAGATGGGGAAAGTGGCTCGATGAGAAAATTCACCGGCGAGGTTTGCTCCAAAACGCGGTATGGGCCCTCGTACTTTGGAACGAGTTTTGAGGAAATGCCGGGGGTTTGGTAAGGAACAGCCAGCCATACAAGTGATCTCGGGGAATAGCTGGGGCTTTGGGAAGAGTCGACGTTGTTTTCTTTCTGGCGCTGTTGTTCTCGAGACGTAAAGGTGCGTGCGAGTTCACGGCACTCTTCCGCATTTCGGGCAGCTTCGGACACAGATGGGCATTCGGATGCGTCAGGACGGTATGGAAGGAGAGTATCGATGGTGTGGGATGGTTCGCGTCCATAAAGAAGAAAGAAAGGTGAAAATCCAGTGGTAGACTGTGCCGCGGTGTTATATGCGAACGTAATGAATGGAAGAATGCGATCCCAGTTAGTATGATCGGATGTCACATACATGGCGAGCATATCGCCAAGGGTGCGGTTAAATCTTTTCGTGAGCCCGTTAGTCTGCGGGTGGTATGCTGTGGTCTTGCGATGAACAACATGGCATTCAGAAAGCAGAGACGTGACGACTTCTGATAGGAAGGCTCGACCTCGATCGCTTAGTAGTTCTCGAGGTGCACCATGTCGTAATATGAAGCGATGAAGGATGAAGGATGCTACGTCCCGCGCAGTGGCACTTGGAAGGGCGGCGGTCTTAGCGTAGCGTGTTAAATGGTCCACAGCGACTATAATCCACCGATTTTCATCTGATGTTGTCGGTAGAGGGCCATAGATATCAATTCCGATCCGATCGAAAGGTTTGGCAGGGCACGGAAGCGGTTGAAGCGCACCGGACGAGTGGAAAGGCGGTGATTTGCGACGTTGACAGTCAGGACAGCCCATAACAAATTTTCGAACGAAATTATACATTCCGCGCCAGTAGAAGCGATGGCGAATGCGTTCGTAAGTTTTGAAAACTCCGGCATGACCACATTGGGGATCGTCGTGAAAGGAGGCGCAGATTTGTGATCGCAAGCTGCGCGGGACAACCAAGAGCCACTTACGACCTTCGGGGGCGTAGTTGCGTCGGTGTAGTAGCCGATCAC